TACATGCAGAGGACTCTTCCTGTTGGTACATGCAGAGGACTCTTCCTGTTGGTACATGCAGAGGACTCTTCCTGTTGGTACATGCAGAGGACTCTTCCTGTTGGTACATGCAGAGGACTCTTCCTGTTGGTACATGCAGAGGACTCTTCCTGTTGGTACATGCAGAGGACTCTTCCTGTTGGTACATGCAGAGGACTCTTCCTGTTGGTACATGCAGAGGACTCTTCCTGTTGGTACATGCAGAGGACTCTTCCTGTTGGTACATGCAGAGGACTCTTCCTGTTGGTACATGCAGAGGACTCTTCCTGTTGGTACATGCAGAGGACTCTTCCTGTTGGTACATGCAGAGGACTCTTCCTGTTGCAGAGGACTCTTGTTGACAAAGGGCCGTTTTATCTTGGAGAAGTTGTCTTTCCCTCACAGTGTGGAAGGTGGGGGGGTGAAGGCTGTTGATGTTGCTTCCTGTCCTCTGGTGAGGAGGGGTCTATGGAGGCTGTTCCGGTGCTCTGTTTCAGGGAGAAGCATGTCTATTGATCAGGAAGTGAAGGAGTGCAGCACAGGAAAAGAGGGAGGGGATTATGGGTAGCAGATGCCTGAGGACGGGTTCAGACATTACAAGGCTGTTCAGGGAATCGGGGGGGGGGAGGGTTTGGCATTCCTCCTTTGTCTCCTATTTTTCTCTCATCCATGTTGTCTCATTGTCTCTTTCTCTCTCACTTTGTGAAAAAGCACCCTAACCTCTGACTTCCTGAACAGTATTATAGGGAATACACAGATCATCTTCATTCACTTGTTTGTTTTGCTGCTCCAGTGTTTGTTCCAGAGCTCATTTGTTACTTTGTGGGTTAGCTGATCTGACCGTCTCCTCCTGGTTTGTATTCCGGTGGTACTGAATGATTGATTATATCTGAATACATAATGATGAGCATTGTGACAATCAATGACATGTAATCCAATACATCACAGATGATAGCATAGCTGAATGGATGCTAAAGGAAGCTGGAAGAAGTACTCAGACTTGTTACTATAGTAAAAGGACTGTTTTCCAAGTCCTGCATTCAAAATGTTACTGAAGTAAAGCAACAAGTATTAGCATCACAATATACTTCATGTGCCACAAGTAAAAGTACTCCTTATGCGTAATGGCACATTATGATAGTGGGATGGAGGGATGGTGGGATGGAGGGATGGATGGATGGGGGGATGGTGGATGGATGGATGGGGGGATGGATGGATGGTGGGATGGATGGATGGTGGGATGGAGGGATGGTGGGATGGATGGATGGGGGGATGGATGGATGGTGGGATGGATGGATGGTGGGATGGATGGATGGGGGGATGGTGGGATGGTGGGATGGATGGAGGATGGATGTGGATGGAGGGATGGTGGGATGGTGGGATGGAGGGATGGTGGATGGTGGATGGGGGATGGAGGGATGGGGGATGGTGGATGGTGGGATGGAGGGATGGTGGGATGGTGGGATGGAGGGATGGTGGGATGGAGGGATGGTGGGATGGTGGGATGGTGGGATGGATGGATGGTGGGATGGAGGGATGGTGGGATGGATGGATGGTGGGATGGATGGATGGTGGGATGGAGGGATGGTGGGATGGAGAGATGGATGGATGGGGGGATGGATGGATGGGGGGAGGGAGATGGTGGGATGGGGGGATGGAGGGATGGAGGGATGGAGGGATGGGATGGGGGATGGAGGATGGTGGGATGGATGGAGGGATGGTGGGATGGAGGGATGGTGGGATGGATGGAGGGATGGTGGGATGGAGGGATGGTGGGATGGATGGAGGGATGGTGGGATGGAGGGAGGGATGGGGGAGGGAGGGATGGATGGAGGGATGGATGGTGGGATGGATGGAGGGATGGTGGGATGGATGGAGGGATGGTGGGATGGTGGGATGGATGGGTGGAGGGATGGAGGGATGGATGGATGGAGGGATGGATGGTGGGATGGATGGAGGGATGGTGGGATGGAGGGATGGTGGGATGGATGGAGGGATGGTGGGATGGATGGATGGAGGGATGGATGGAGGGATGGTGGGATGGATGGAGGGATGGATGGGTGGAGGGATGGATGGAGGGATGGAGGGATGGATGGAGGGATGGTGGGATGGGATGGATGGAGGGATGGATGGTGGAGGGATGGAGGGATGGAGGGATGGATGAAGGGATGGAGGGATGGAGTCCATCAATGGTGGACTTAGTTGCATGTGACCCTCAGAGCGATCACTGAGAGAGAGCATTGAGGAGCAGGTTCATTTCAATCCAATTTAGTTTTGGTGTTCCGTACTATACATTTCTAACATAAAACTTTGGGGTACTCATTTCTGGGTCCACAATAGGACTCTATGATCTGGCAACTAGACTATAAAGCAGACCTTCCCTCACACTTGAACCGGAGCCAGGTGTCCCTGATGTCCCTGATGTTTATTTTCTGTTCAAACTGTCTCATTACGTCAGGAACCCTCTGTCTTTCTCCCCCAGGTTCCAGCCTTCCGAAGCCCCAGGTGAAGACAGCGTCTCTGGGTCAGGCGGGTAAGGCGCGCTCCCCTCTGCTGCCCGTCTCCGTCCCCACAGCGCCAGACCTACAGGAGGAGGGGGGGGGGCAGACCCTCAGAGGACTCAGCTGCCAACGTGAGTCTGCACAATACTGTATGAAGACAAGTTGTGTTCCTGCTGCATCACTGCGCCACAGACTGTCTGTTTGACAGCTTTCTCTGACATGTTCTAAACTACATTTCAGTTTGTAGAGGTTTCCACACTTGACAATACACATCCTAAATACTGTTGGAAACATGTATACATTGTAAACCATGGTGTATATCAGGGGTATTCAACTAAAATTCAACGAGGTCCATTTAGAGAAAATGTCCCCATGCAAAGGTCCGGAACATCAAAATGTCTAAGTTGCTTTATGAATTAGTGTGATATATATTAGCCTGTAGCTTTATCAACGTCTGCATGTAATCAACAACTGACTGCCAATCAAATAAAGAATTCAATTCAAAAACAACAATATTTATTGTCAATGAACATTGAACTATACAGATATACAGTAAATACTGTGGATATGTGTAATGTTCCTCTCTGGCTGCATTTAAAAATAAAATAGAGGAAATAAATAAAATAGCTTTTGAAAATATGTGCATCTTAAAAGTGCTTAATTTTAGATAAATAAAATAAAGTGTAGCAGCAGCTTGAGTTTCCCTTTTTCTTTGTTAACCGTTTCACATCATGACTTAACAGTTTCAGCCGATTATAGAACAATATCAGTCTTTACACATCATAACAATTGAACAGTTTAAAAGTTTCTCTTTCTTTCCCTCTTATATTGCAGTCCCTCACTCACTTCTTTTTAATTCAGTGCGAGAATTGAGCTTGAGCTTGTCCTGCCAGGAGTTTAAATCTGGGCTGAAATGGTGTCAGGGCCATTCTCATGTACACATGCAGGTGCTCTTTGGTTAGCCTCGGTTAGCCTGCCCTGGAACGATATTTAGTTTTAATTTTGATCCTGGTGGACTGATCATACTGGGCTCTGAGACTGCTTATTTTTTGTGACCTCAGTTCTGACTTGACACTTGAGAGGGAATGTTTGGTCAAACACTTTGTGTTTTGTCTCATAGTGGCGTTTTGGCACTTTTAATGAGCGCCACGGTCTCTGAACAAATGAGACACACTGGCTCTGTGCTCCCAGTGGGCAGGATGAACATGAATGAGTCCGTCCACTCAGGGTTAAAAGCTCTGTTCTCACTGTCTACTTTCCTCTTCTTGGAGAGCGCCATGTGTCATTATTTGTCTCTCCCTGTCTGCCGCTAACACGCCTGTTCACTCTCCTCTCCGCTTCTCTCCCTGTATCGCTAATTATTCTCTTTACTCACTTTCCTCTCCGCTTCTCTCTGCCGTTCTCTCGTCTCTTCTTCTGTGTTTCTCTCCCTGTATCGCTCACTCGTCTCTTTCGCCCCCTGTCGGCAGCGGTTAAAATAGAATCGCCCCGTCAAAATGTAAATCCCCTATTAATGTATTGATTATAGGTCCGGGTCCGTATAGGTCGGCGTCTGGGTCCGGATCCGGACCGCGGTCCGCCTGTTGCCGACCCCTGCTGTAAATACTATATTGTTATATATACTGTTCTAGGAGCATCACAATGGTTTGGAGCACATCATCATTTCTGAAGATGTTTTGATTTTTACTGATGCTGTTGCCATGGGAACACTGAACAGAAACAGCTGTTGTGACTAATTGATTATGAGTTGTCTCTGAGCTTGTGACGTATTGGGAACAGATGCACTCAAGGTTTTCTCCCAAATGCAAGTATACTTTAAAAAACATAATCAATCTGCAGCTTTTTGTATAATGCAGTTTCCCAAACCATGAAAAAAGACGGACTTGAACAAAAACAACATTTAGGAGGCATGAAAGCAAACATGGACACACAGCTCAGATTCAAGATTCAAGATATTTATATATATCCTTTATTTAACCAGGTAAAAAGACTCATTGAGATTAACATCTCTTTTCCAAGAGGGACCTGGCCAAGAAGGGCAGCATGAACAAAGTTACAACAGATAAAACACAGACAAGACAGGCAGACAAATACATCTGTAAAACACAAATGAAATGGCACATTAGCCAGTCAATATGCGAAAAATAAAACAAACTATTAAAAATCATTAAAAACTGGCAACATTTAAAACGATTTTAGGATATACGAGCACTCACATCTACCAATGGTGTCGTGTTCTCTGTCCTTTAAGATGGACCTGAATTCCCCCATAGTGATTCCATCTGAGAGTTGCAGCTCCTTCTGTACATTGTTCCAAGCTGTGGGGGCAGCATATTTAAAGGCTGTTTACCCAGTTTTGTTCTCACTGTAGGAACCAGCATCTGAATCACATCTTGGGAGCACAGGCCATATAGACTTTCTCTTTGACACATATATGTGCAAATGTAGGAGGGAACCAACCCAAGCAGAGATTTATAAATAAAACCCAACCAATGGGAAAGTCTGCGAGCAGACAAAGACGGCCAATTAGCAGCAGCATATAAAGTGCAATGGTGTACTCCATATCCACATCCATTAATAAATGGTAAGGCACAATGGTACACAGTATCCAAGCTCTTTAGGCACTGGTCAGAGGCATTCATGTATAGCAGGTCACCATCATCTAATACAGGTCACAACGTTGCAGAGATCAAATGTTTCCTTGTCTGAAAGAGAAACAGGATTTATTTCTGTAAAAGAAACCTAATGTTATTTTTAGCTTTGAAACAACATTTTCCGTGTGTAACTTGAAAGACAAGTTCTGTTCAATAAGAGATCCCAGATATGTGTAAGTAGTGACCCTCTCACTGTCAGTCTCTTGAGCAGTACACATCTTGGCTAGAATAGATGGTCACTTTTTGCCATTCGAAAATATCATCACTTTAGATTTTTCTACATTTAATTGTCATATGTACAGTACAATGAAATGCTTACGCTCAGCTCTCCGCACCTAAATATTAAGAAACTACACAAACAAACAAATAAGAAAAATACTAGCATAAGAAAATAAAAAATATAAGCAGACATACATTAAAACATTTCTGTCTGTGTAAAACGCGCAAAAAGATATAAATATGTTTGCATTTAGGCTCTGACCTTGTGTCTTTCCAAGAGGAAACACCAGGCAGAGGGGGGGGGGGGGGGGGGGGTGAGGAGGGCAACTCTCCCCTGGGGGAGTGTTGACAGGGTCTGCAGGTGGAGGCAGGTGGAGCTGAGGCTTTTGATATGCTGTGAACAGAGAACACAGGAGAGACACAGAGCGAGAACAGCAGGTAGAGGGTGGAAGACACACACACACACACACACACACATGCACACACACACGCACGCGCACACACACACACACACACACACACACACACACACACACACACACACACACACACACACACACACACACACACACACACACACACACACACACACACACACTGTTTCCACTCTTTAGGAGCTGGTGGCCTTTCAGCTCTAGAATAAAACAGAGTTCATTAGTGAGTGTGACTGAGGAGAGGAAGAAGAGAAGGAGGAAGATAGAAGAGAGGTAAGGAGTCGTAAAGGACACTGAAGGAGGGGGAGGAGAGGAACAGGGAGAAAGAGAAAAGGGAGGAGTGGAGGTAGTAGGAAAATAATGGGGGGGGAGGAGGAAATGAGAAAAACACACAAGGATAGGGAAGAAGAGGAAAGACAGAGAAAATGGGAGGAAGGAGGTGGAGGAAGATGAGAGAAGGAGAGGAAGATGAGAGAAGGAGAGGAAGATGAGATAAGGAGAGGAAGATGAGAGAAGGAGAGTAAGATGAGAGAAGGAGAGGAAGATGAGAGAAGGAGAGGAAGATGAGATAAGGAGAGGAAGATGAGAGAAGGAGAGGAAGATGAGATAAGGAGAGGAAGATGAGAGAAGAAGAGGAAGATGAGAGAAGGAGAGGAAGATGAGAGAAGAAGATGAGATAAGGAGAGGAAGATGAGAGAAGGAGAGGAAGATGAGAGAAGGAGAGGAAGATGAGATAAGGAGAGGAAGATGAGAGAAGGAGAGGAAGATGAGAGAAGGAGAGGAAGATGAGAGAAGGAGAGGAAGATGAGAGAAGGAGAGGAAGAGGAAGGAGCGGTGCAGACATGAACATGGGAAAGAAAGAGAAGATTGAGAGGAGAGAAAGTGGAGAGAGGGAGGAGAGGGTGACAGGCAGAGAGATAAACGACAGGAGATGACGTGGAATGTTAAATATTCATACTGACTCAATGACAATGGGACAGGGGGAGGCGTCGCCACGGCAACAAGAAGAGAAGAGAGGGGGAAATGAGAGGAGGAGAAGGGAAGGAGGAAACAAAAAAAGAAGGGAGGGGAAAACAAGAAACAAGGAGACAAGTGGGCAAAGGAGGAGGTGAGAAAGGGAGACAAAACAATGAGAGGAGAGGTGTCGCCGTAGCAACAACAAGAGAGGGAAGGGTGGAGGGGGAGAGCAGAAAAGGGGTGAGACAAGAAGAGAAGTGAATGATGTGTAAGGGAGGAGGACGTGATGAGAGGAGAAGAGGAGACAAGGGGAGGAGGATGGGAGGGGGGAGGAGAGACGGAGAGAGGAACAGAAGATAAGAGAAGGGGGGGACGGGAGGGAGGGGAGAGGGTCAAAGGTCAACAGGTCTTTCTCTTCATCTGCTGTTCTATCTCTGTAATTGATCTAGTCTTTCCCCATGAGCCTTATAATACACACACACACACACACACACACACACACACACACACACACACACACCACACACACACCACATACACACACACCACACACACACACACACACACACACACACACACACACACACCACACACCACACAACCACACACACACACCACACACAACACACACACACACACACACACACACCACACACACACACACCACACACCACACAACACAACACATACACATACACATACACACACACACATCACAACAACACACACACACACACATACACACACACACACACACATACCACACACACACACACACACACATACACACACACACACACACATACACACACACACACACACACACATACACACACACACACACACACACACACACACACACACACA